GCCTGAGGCGGCGCACTGCGTCCCGGCGAGCCAGTCCGGGAGCACCGGCCGCTGCTGCACCAGGCGGGCCAGTCCCGCGCAGGCGCACTCGCGAACTTGGCGCTCGGGTGCTGGAGCTGGAGCAGGACGGAGCAAGTGTCAGAGCGAGAACAGCGCGCATGCGCGGAGGCACGGCGAGGGGGCTGGCTGCGCTGCCAGGGGGCTCCGCGTAAAGCCCGCCGCCCCCGCCCCGCGGGGCCCAGCGAGCCCTTGCCTCACCTTTTCTAGCAGCTCTGCCGCCGGCCCGTCGTCCTCCTCTCGCTCAGTCCCGTTCGCCGCCGCTGCAGCCTCGGCCTGACAGTCGCCCGTAGGGGAGAACTGAGGTCGCTTGAAGCGCTTCGTCCGGCTCTTGCCCATGGCGACGTGCACTGATGGGAAGACCGAGGAAGAGAGACAACAACAAAACTGGAGGCTGCCGAGTTGGCAGCAGGTCGTACCTCCTAGGGGACTACGTGCCGCTGTTCAGCTGGGCCCGATGACGGCCGGAGCCCACATGGGGCAGCGTTGCGCATGCGCGCAGCGTGTCGGCGGCAGGGGGAGGGGCTGGCGCGGGGAGCGGCTGGCGCGGGGAGCGCGCAGGCGTAGAATAGAGGATAGGCGGGGCCAGACCTTGCCGAGGGGCGAGACCTGTGGGGTTTCCCGGGAAGGGGAAGGCTGGCTTTGAATTGTAGTACTGACCCCGTCTACCACGAGCTAGTGACGCTTATCAAGTTACAGAACTTGCCAAACATTTATTTCCATAATAATCAAATGCAATTAAGGATACCTAACTTGAAAGGTTATTGTGAGGCTTAAAAAAGTATTATGTAGTAGGGGGTGGAAATAGCTCAGTGGTAGACTAAATACTTAGCATGTTTGGGATCCTGGGTTCAATCCACAGTACCTCCATTAAAAAACAAAACAAACATGTTGTGTAAAGTACCTAACTCCAAGCCTGATGTATACGGTAAATGCTCAAAAAATATTAACCATAGTTTTTAAAAATTTATTTTTATTGTTTTGGGGGGAGGAAATTAGGTTTATTTATTTATGCTTAAGGCAGTACTGGAAATTGAACCCAGGACTTCTTACATGTTAAGCGTGCACTCTACCACATGAGCTATACCCTGCCCCCAATCATGATTTTATTTTGTGCCTAGCACAGGACCAGTCATAGACAAAGTCCATATTTGATAAGATAGACTCCCTAAGAAGTTGCTTAATCTTCCTGCCTTAGATTCATCAGTGAAACGGAGATACCAATAATATATGCCTAATGGAGTTATAAGGATACATGTGTTTAAAAAAGAAAGGATACATGTGTTTTAAGATGCTAAGAACACAGACTGACACATAATACATAATAAGCGCTATGTAAATGTTTGGTTGAAACTTTTATTTAATAACAAAAGGATTCTTTCACAAACATTTATTGAGTACCAGATACAGTAATAGGCATTGGGATAAAACAGTTTCAACTAAGACAGATACAGTCCCTGTCATTTGTTCTTGTTTTTGTAAACTTGGAGTTTACAGTTTAGTGAGAGATGTGTTAAATAAATAATTATATGAATAACTATTTAGTTACTGTTGTGGTAAGTACTAAGAAAGAAGGAAAATACAGGAGAATCTTAGTAGTCTTCATAATTACATGTATTTATTGAGCACCCAGGAGATACACAGCTTTCAGGTTAACACTGTATAGGAGAAAAGTTCCACCCCATGGCAACCCTACCCTCAAAGAGCTGTGGTCTAGTAAGGAAAATGACTAATTATGATAGCATATTTTGGAAAATAATCACAGAGGTTTAGCTAAAGTTGTACAGAAGCTCGGACCTATAAAAGACCAACTTTAGGTACAAGGAAGACTTAGAACCCCCAGTTATATGTTGGTAGGTTTTACTAGATCCCTCTTATCTGGCCACTGATCTCCTAACCTCCCTCATCCAAGCTACTGTCTATTCTTGTCTTGATCACATGGCCTTCTGGTCTCTCTTTTTCCACCCTGCCCATCCATAGAACAGCTGGAGTGATATTTTCAAAATGAATATCCCTCCAACTTTCCGATATTCATTCCCTTGCCTGAAACCTTTCAATGGCTTCTCTTTCTTATAGGATGAAAGTCAAAATCTTAGCTGGCTGCACTGCCTCATCCCAGCCTCCAGCTTCATCTCATGTCACCTCTTGAATTCCTTCCTCCCTTTAGCCATCCTCCAAAGCGCCAATCTCTCTTCTTCCTTAAGACTTTGAACAAGTCCCAGACTCCGCCTCTGTCTTGGTGAGTGCAAGAGTCACTTTTTCATAGGCCCTCCTCTGATCTGGAGATCAGGTCTCCAGATGGGTCTCCGCTGAGACAGCATATATCCTGTTCCTTTACTTGAAAGCACAGCTCAAAATTACAGGTATAATTTAAATTTATTTGTGTATAGTTATACTCAATATTTATACTCATACTTATACACATACTCTCACCAATTGCACACTAGATCCAGTGAGGATAAGACTGCCTGTTTTCCCACATCACTGTCTTCCCAACACTGGCCAAGGCCCCGCACAAAATAAGCATGCCATTTCTTGAGTGACTGGAGAACCACATAATCAAGAAAGAGTAGAGCATGTAATCTAGACAGAACAGGAGAAGATAAAACAGATTCCTGCTGTTTCTCTCACTATGGGAATAAGCAAGAAAAAATAGTTCAAAACCTTAGCCAGGGGGAGAACTTTGGGCTCTATTTCATTACTCTTTCCTGTGAAAAATGAACATTTCTGCTAAAAATGAATGAAAACCTTTATTCAGTGAACTTAAGAGCCCTTCTCAGAACCACCTAAGATTGTCAATCTTAGGAGAAGCCCAAAGACCTTTAACCAGTCTAATAATCCTTAACCAGTCATTTAAAATACTCCAGCCAGGCAATGATTATCTAACCATCCCCCTTTCCTACAAATGATCTTTGTCGAGAGGGAATTTTTGAATTAGACTGCATAGAAGCCTCTTTCCTTTTGAGACAATAAAAATGCTTGTAATCAATTATTGGTTGGACACACTTTGTTGTAAACAGGAGCTAGCTTTCTTCCAGACTCCTGTTTCTCCCCCTTCACATTTTTGTAGGGTAATCTTCCTAAAACACAGTCTGATCAAGTTCACTAAAAACCTTTGACCATCCTGTGTAGGTGCATGTCTGAGCCATACAGAATCAGGGTCAGATTTTACATAACTTCCTCTGCGGCCACAGCACCCTGCCACATGCTTCTAACACCTCATCTCTGGCCCAGGAGCCTCCTCAGTCTCCCCAGAGACTCCCCCGGACTTTCCTTTACCTAGGCCTGGGGGCTGTATAGCTCAGCAAGCTTCCACCATGCACCCTGGCATTAACCATTTCCACTTTCCTGGTACAGTCCCGGCTCTACTTCCAATTTCTCTGAGTTTTAGGGACTTATTGTCGGGCAGGAGATGTAAACCAAAAACGGCTGTCCTGTGTGGACTGGCATACTGTCCTCATGCCCCCTCCTGCCCCAGCGGATACTCCATCCTCAGCCCTCCATGGACTTTGTGGGCCCTATACTTCTCTCTTACAATTGTCCATGAATTATCATCAAGAGTGTACATGTGGGCTACCCGCACTAGCCTGTAAGCTCCTTGGAGGGCAGGGGTCTTTGCCTGTCTCTATATGATCAGTGCCTGGCACCCAGCAGAATGAAAGTCCCCAAGTTGTCCACTCCCTCTACATGGCTGCTGTCCTCTGCTCAGCTCACCCTACATAAGTGACTCAGCAGTCATCAGCAAGTAATGTAGCTGCTGATAAAAGTCATCTACAGATAATCAGACCTCTGGCCTCTTGTTCCAGATCTGCCACTAATGGGCTATGTGATCAAGGGAAGATCTCTTCCCTTTTGTAGACCTCAGTTTCTCCATTTACAAAAACTCTTTGCAGCTCTTTGAAATTCCAGAGGGCTGTGGATCATGCTGATTATTTTAGGAAAGTCGTCCTGGAAGGAAAACTGGAAGTTGAGTGCCTCTAGAGCAGGTGTCAGAGCCTGGGACTGGCACTCTCGCTGCTGACTTCTATTTGGTCCTCAGAACTTTCCTGAGCTGTATGTTAGTGTAAATGCTGACGGCCACCCTGACAAAGTCACTGCAAAGGGACTTTGATGGGACGGCCCATCAAATTCGACTTCATTAAGGATCTGACACATGTTCACTATATGTTTATATGATAAGTGAAAATTTAAACTTGTTGAAAAATTATCCTTTGACAGTATCTATTCTTAAAGCAAGAAAGGTGTTCACCAGGTACTATGAAGTAAATAGGCAAGTTACAAAGCAGCATAGTAGAATCCCATTTTTGGAAAAACACAGAGGAAGTACCTGTGTGTAGATATACCAAAGTGTCACCTGTGTTTGTTTGGCTATAGGGGTAAATAAAGGAGATCATTTAAAAATCTGTTTTATTTGGGGTGTTTCTAGAATAAGCAGGTAGTATTTGCATACTTTTTTAAACCATGAAAAAATTTTAAAAGAAATGCAGTCTAATTCCCTGATGCGGTCCCCATTCCTTTCCTATTATCCCCACACCCACCTGCCACAGAGGCTGCCCTTGGTGTCCAGAGACCCTGCTAAAAGAGTTAGGGCTCCTCCTGTGACTTCTGTGTCTAGATCAGCATTTGGTCCTTTTTTGTTAATGTCATTATCACTAATATGGATACCATGGGATGTTGTTACCAGGTTAGTTGCAGCACAAGAGTTCCATGTGGTAAAACAATGTTACATTTGTAGAATTCTTATAAAATTTCCCAGTAAAAAAAAAGTACATATATATAATTTTTCAGATAAATCCATTTAATACTGTTTTTTTCTTCCCCTCCCAGGTGGGCAGCATTTCCTTCCTAGTGGTAGTTTCTTACTCCCTTGCCCAGCTCTCAGTGAACCCATTCTCAGTCTAGGCGCTTCTGACTCTCCAGTGAAGAGCTGATGCATTCCCATCTGGTGTTAACTGAGCATGTCCAGACCTAGCACTGGGTCATCTAAGACTACTGTATTTTAGTATCATGTTTTATTTGTTTTAACTGATCAGTGGGCTAATATCACTTCAGTTTTTTTCATAAGTTACTATGAGTGAATATGAAAATGAAATATATGTATGTTCCCATATGACTGAAGTATTGTTATACACCAGAAATTGACACAACATTGTAAACTGACTATACTTCAACAAAAATATATATTAAAAAAAGAAAAAAAATGAGTTACTATGAGTGACTACACATTTTTCCTTTTACATTACCTTCCATGCCGCATCAAATCAGGATTTATCAAATGTTCAAGTGAAAATGGAGGTAAGGAATTTTTTTTAAATAACTGATTGTTTTATGCATCTCAAATAGTACAAAAAGTTCACAAATTGACTACTTAGGAAAT